ATATTTTAAAAATCTCTATTCCCGAATACATTTTTTTTAAGTAGTAAAGATCGGGGAAAAAGTAGACGCGTTATTTCGCGAACATTTGTTGGTTTGAGACTGCTAAATTACAGTAATTGCTCTCATATACTACATGTTTCGAAGAAGACAGAAAGAAAGGAAGGTAAAGAAAAAGATATCAATAATATTTTAAAAATCTCTATTCCCGAATACATTTTTTTTAAGTAGTAAAGATCGGGGAAAAAGTAGACGCGTTATTTCGCGAACATTTGTTGGTTTGAGACTGCTAAATTACAGTAATTGCTCTCATATACTACATGTTTCGAAGAAGACAGAAAGAAAGGAAGGTAAAGAAAAAGATATCAATAATATTTTAAAAATCTCTATTCCCGAATACATTTTTTTTAAGTAGTAAAGATCGGGGAAAAAGTAGACGCGTTATTTCGCGAACATTTGTTGGTTTGAGACTGCTAAATTACAGTAATTGCTCTCATATACTACATGTTTCGAAGAAGACAGAAAGAAAGGAAGGTAAAGAAAAAGATATCAATAATATTTTAAAAATCTCTATTCCCGAATACATTTTTTTTAAGTAGTAAAGATCGGGGAAAAAGTAGACGCGTTATTTCGCGAACATTTGTTGGTTTGAGACTGCTAAATTACAGTAATTGCTCTCATATACTACATGTTTCGAAGAAGACAGAAAGAAAGGAAGGTAAAGAAAAAGATATCAATAATATTTTAAAAATCTCTATTCCCGAATACATTTTTTTTAAGTAGTAAAGATCGGGGAAAAAGTAGACGCGTTATTTCGCGAACATTTGTTGGTTTGAGACTGCTAAATTACAGTAATTGCTCTCATATACTACATGTTTCGAAGAAGACAGAAAGAAAGGAAGGTAAAGAAAAAGATATCAATAATATTTTAAAAATCTCTATTCCCGAATACATTTTTTTTAAGTAGTAAAGATCGGGGAAAAAGTAGACGCGTTATTTCGCGAACATTTGTTGGTTTGAGACTGCTAAATTACAGTAATTGCTCTCATATACTACATGTTTCGAAGAAGACAGAAAGAAAGGAAGGTAAAGAAAAAGATATCAATAATATTTTAAAAATCTCTATTCCCGAATACATTTTTTTTAAGTAGTAAAGATCGGGGAAAAAGTAGACGCGTTATTTCGCGAACATTTGTTGGTTTGAGACTGCTAAATTACAGTAATTGCTCTCATATACTACATGTTTCGAAGAAGACAGAAAGAAAGGAAGGTAAAGAAAAAGATATCAATAATATTTTAAAAATCTCTATTCCCGAATACATTTTTTTTAAGTAGTAAAGATCGGGGAAAAAGTAGACGCGTTATTTCGCGAACATTTGTTGGTTTGAGACTGCTAAATTACAGTAATTGCTCTCATATACTACATGTTTCGAAGAAGACAGAAAGAAAGGAAGGTAAAGAAAAAGATATCAATAATATTTTAAAAATCTCTATTCCCGAATACATTTTTTTTAAGTAGTAAAGATCGGGGAAAAAGTAGACGCGTTATTTCGCGAACATTTGTTGGTTTGAGACTGCTAAATTACAGTAATTGCTCTCATATACTACATGTTTCGAAGAAGACAGAAAGAAAGAAAGAAGGTAAAGAAAAAGATATCAATAATATTTTAAAAATCTCTATTCCCGAATACATTTTTTTTAAGTAGTAAAGATCGGGGAAAAAGTAGACGCGTTATTTCGCGAACATTTGTTGGTTTGAGACTGCTAAATTACAGTAATTGCTCTCATATACTACATGTTTCGAAGAAGACAGAAAGAAAGGAAGGTAAAGAAAAAGATATCAATAATATTTTAAAAATCTCTATTCCGAATACATTTTTTTTAAGTAGTAAAGATCGGGGAAAAAGTAGACGCGTTATTTCGCGAACATTTGTTGGTTTGAGACTGCTAAATTACAGTAATTGCTCTCATATACTACATGTTTCGAAGAAGACAGAAAGAAAGGAAGATAAAGAAAAAGATATCAATAATATTTTAAAAATCTCTATTCTCGAATACATTTTTTTTAAGTAGTAAAGATCGGGGAAAAAGTAGCCATACGTAAACGCGTTATTTCGCGAACATTTGTTAGAGTTTGAGACTGCAGTTTTTCAAAAATAATTTTTTTTTATTTAAAGAACTAAAATTCAATGTTCACCGGATGTATAAACGTTTCGTCTTTGCGCTAGAAATTAACAATTAATTGTGTATCTACCGAGACAGATCTCCTTTTGCCACACACAGTCAACAATGTTATTTTCGCATAATTTGTAATTTGTATTAATTTATTCTAATGAAAAGGCAGCAGACTTGTTGTGAATGAATTATTCTGAAAATAATTTCCTTGAGTTTTCTAAAAAGATTTATTGATCTGTATCTTCTCTGTGAAAATTCTTTATTTCTCTTAGAAGGATGCAAATTTTAAAATTGTTCTACTTACAAATATCAATTGCTCTTTCAACATTTCTCAGACAGTTGCCTAAAATTTAATGAATAAACTATTGTTAAAGAAAGTAAATGCTCTGTATCGATTGGATTAATTTGACGTTGCCGTGAGAATTTGAATGTTCATCCAATCGTGTTGCAGGGAGGAAAATGAGTTTATCGTATTATCGTCGAATCGATTTTGTAGCGAGAAGGTAACGAATGTTGCGTTCCGTTTTAATTGGAATTAGCCATGCACATAATTTTTCAATCGTATCTCAATAATAAGTTGTAAATTTCATATTTCGGGATGGACATTTGTTTTTTTTTTTCTTTTTTTTCAATATTAATTGAAGATAATAAAATATGTTTTTTATTAATGGAAATATCATTGAGCATAAAAATTATTTAGCACAGATCTCCATCTATCCTGCGTATATTAAAGAAGAGATAAAACTACATAGCTCTGTTACATCTACGCAAGGAATATAGAACGTTTATGATCAGACATCATTACATTGTCTCCTTTTGTAAAAATGATCTCAATTATGAAATCAAAAATTATTCGCCTATTTCAATAAATATACTTTACGATATTTATATGCATGACAAAAAAGCGAACAGAGATTTTTTATCACAAAAGTCTGCATGTTCCCCATTTTTCGCGAAGGAAAAAAAAATACTTTTACGATGTCAAATTTCGCATAATATATAAATAATCCCACGGCTGTCTGGTTGAGGTGAAACTGACAGCAGGGTGTGTCATTTTTAAAAGAATCGGCCGGCGGTCAAGTTGCACGGAATGTTCGTCAGAGGCGCGTCGATCCAGGGACGACGCCGACGCCGACGCCGACGTCGACGTCGACGTCGGACTTTGCACGCCATCTCGGCGACGCCGGCTCCGATGGAGGCGAAGATTAACACCGCACGTCGATGGGTTATCCGCGGAGTTTTCTCCCAAGGGAGATTATCCCTTGGTTCATTGCGGAACAATTTTCGAGGGTCGTAAAAAGAGTTTGCAAGGGCGGAAGGTACAAAGTTCGGGAAAAATATTACTGCAAATAACATTGCGAATCGCTCTTAAAAGAAAATTACTCCAAAAGTTTTACTTTCAATATTTAGAACATATTTTTTTACGTAATTAATTTTACATTCCGTTAGCCTGATAGCGGTTTATTTATCTAATACGAAAAAAGATGAAATAATGTAATACATTTTAACGAAGATTGATTTATATTATCGCGAGAAATTAGTATAATCGGTGCATATGCATATATGCAAAATTATTTTCAAACAAATTCTTTTTTTAATGAAAATATTTAATTGAAGAATAATTGTAGGTCTATTTCTCGACTCTTTTTTTATCATCTCTGTTGCAATTTTATGTAGTTTTGTATATTGACACCAAAATAGAATGGATTATAAAATATACATATGCATGACAGAATTATGCATATGTACATATAGTAAAAATTTCCACATTCAGCGAAAAAATGTGAAAAAAAAATTCTTTATTGTGGTGTATACGCCGGTGGATCTGTTTCATCTCCAAGTTAAAAATACTTGGCATAACTTGGAGCATTTCCTTGTAAGGCGATCACTTCGTGCCGTGAATCTGCTGTAGTTGTAACAGGGTGGGCTCGTAGATAAAGATGAGAGGCTTGGCATATCAATTTCACGGACTACAAATGGAGAGAGAAGAAGGCGCAGTTACTTGAGAGAATAAACGGAGGGAGAGGGTGAAACTTGAACTCGGGAAACCTGACTGAGACCTCGCTAATTCCGAGGGTTAAGTTAAGCTGGTAATGCGTCTACTTAAAGGCCAAGAAGGAGATGAGAGCGAGAGAAAGGATAGGGAACCAAAGGCGATTGCAGCAATGCAATCTGGATAATCCTTTCATAGAATAGTCGATCTCGCGAGACAATAATGACTAGGAAGTCAAATTGATGGCTATTTGTGTGGCTGTGCTACAAATTTAGCTAGTTTGCTGCGAGAAAAGTCGATGGTAATTTTTACGCCGATTGAATGATCTTATTATCATATTTCTCACTTATTTAGTTTGACCAGTCGAATTTTTTATATCTGATGGGACATATTTTAAATCTCGTGTTTTTTCTCATAATTATCAGTTTGAAAAATGAAAATAAAATTCATTGACAACCAATGATATAATACAAACTTCATTGTTCAACAATACAAATTATTTAAGGAATATATATAATTTGTTTACACGTTTGTTTATGTTTGAAAAAAATTAAAAATATATAAATTACATTGGAAATTACTTTGAATTAATCGAAAAATCGAAGAAAGAGAGAAAGCTGACCAAGTTTGGAATATCGAAGTATTTAAAATATAACAGATAAAATATGAATTCTTTCCGATTGCACCGCAAAAAATGATAAATATGTCTCGACTATCGCGGCCTGATCCATTTCGAAATAAATTAAATTAATGAAAATAGGTAACAGAAAAAAAGAAAGGAAAAATTCCGGGTTGCATTTGCGAATAAAATTTTATATAAGATATTGAAACTCACCGGTATCATTGGATTGTCGACCCTTGCCATCTGGATTCCACTCTTCTTCTATAAACAAACAAAGAAAATAGTAATTAGCGCAAACTATTAACGAGAAAGCAATTTAAGACAATTCAAAATTGATGATAAGAAAATAAATAGTTATTTAACTAGACATAATTTCTTCGCGAATTATATTATATCAAAAAATTATGAATTATATTCTATAATTATCTAAATAGAATTTGATTAATCACAATTTTGAATTGTCTTACAGAACAATAAATACTATCTTTCATACACACTTCCTACGTAATAAATTACATGTATACGATTGAATTGCCAATAGGAATGAATCGTTTTTGTTCTAAAAAGACAGAATATTGATTTCCAGCAAATTTACAATTATTACAATGTGGTAACGTCCTTGTTTAGGAGTTTCTGATAACTTTGGTAGCAAGTATCAGAAAGTTCCGGATGGACTGAAGTTCGAATTTCAGAAAGTTACGGATATTGCAGAGGACTAGTTGAAACCCGCCAACCCGGAATATGATATTTGCCAAGCCAAGTTTCAGAAAAAAATGTGAAAGAATATTTCGTAAAGCCTGCAATCTATATATTTCTCAATTATTTCGATTAATTTCAGCTTGACGTAAACTTGTACGCGATACGTCGCTATAAAAAATTTAAACGGAGATTATAAGAGATATATATTTTTCACCAATTTAAATTTTACTATTTAAATATCATTAAGTCATTCAAACTTGAAAGACTTTATTCTACATTTTGATTTACTTTTGCAAGAAGAATTATCCCTTCTCCAGGATTTCGAACACAGCCTACAAATTGAACAAGTAAGTGTTTTATAAATAAAAATATACACATATTTTTGGTATATATTTCGTTTGAATATATGAATGCGCTTGTGCACCTTCCGTACACAAAGCTGTGGCCACGCATGCATAATCGCGCGAAAATCAACCGAGCGTTCTCACGATGCTCGAGACCTTTTTTTCATCCCGTCTCATATATTTGCACGCTTCGTACATTTATGCAAAAGCGCACGTTGACATATGACAAACTGCAAACTAAAGCGCGAAATCGAACCGAGATGTACATAGACGCATCGTATGCATCCGCGCGTGCATAGAAACATGCGTGTCTACGCGCCTGTATATATTTATGCAAAACGCATGTTCTCTCGCTCACGCACAACAAACCGCCGCGTATTGACTATGCGTATATTCTATGCGTCACGTATCTGCATCCATAGGATGTCCCAGGCTTAAGCAAGCTATTGTATCTATCTTTATACATTTTTACGTTACATCAAACGTGAAATGTTACCAAAAGTCGAAGGAGGAATTTTTAACATTAAATATTTCGTCATATATTTCTTATTGCAATAATTAATAATTGAAATGTCAACGCGTGTAGTTGATCATGATGGACATTACATGTGCGCGTTTACATTTATGTATATGTATAACTTGCATACGCGAGTCACGCATATTTTATGTCAGTTGTATATACACAGTTATGTAGACACGTGCGCACGTGTGGGTGTTTATTGCGTTATGTTGCATCTGTCCAAGTTGATGGTACATATGTACTTGGCTGCGTGAATTTATAAGGATCTTCTATGTAGCTACTCTACTTCCGCATTCTCGGCCATGTGGGAGATATGAATTTAGATACATATATTCACTATGATCCACTTTCTTCGGAAGATGCTCGCTTAGGACCTTACTCATTAACAACATCGTTTGTCTTTAACGCGTCATGTTATTAATATATTTTCTCCAAGGGAGGAAATATATTAATCATATACTTTTAGCCAGGACTTTCTTGTCTAAACAAAATATCGACATAATAATGGTTTCCCAGACAGCACCGAGTTCAAAATTGGCGCGTAAGATATCATTGAGAAATCTTAAAGACAGAAATCTTATATGATATGATATATTCAAAAGACACCTTAAAGATATCTTATGCGCCGATTTTGGATTTGATGCTGTCTTGTGGGTTGCGAATAATAAGTAGTTGGAAAGTTTTAAACGCAATTTTGATGCACTGAAAGCTTCTCTAAATTCAAGTATAAAAATATGACATCAAAGCCCGCCGATATTAAGAAAAGCGAAAAAGTGGTGAGCATCTCTTTGATACGGATATACAAGAAGCCTCTCGCGCACTTTTTCCTTTTGAAGCGCATGACCCTGTTTACGAGCCCGTCGAGAATCCGGGACTTTTTCACGACATGTTTGGCACAATAAACGGAATTTATATTCCGATTCTCTCTCGGAAAAGAACGCTCGTTATACGGCGGGAAACAGAAATTATAGTGCTCCGTGTCTACACTACGTCATCAATCGATCGTTTTCGTCGACAATGGGTATTTCGCGGATCCCTGCGTTGCAGATGATCGCTGTCGCGTAATTGGCGAAACATGTCCCTTTCGTCGAAAAAGCGATCGGTGCTGCGATTGTACCGCAGAATATTTTTCGATAGAAACGGCGGGATATTCGTATACGCATTCTGCACGTGTGTACATGTTTTGTTGTTTGCGCGTCGATTGAAGGATCGAGTGGATGTCGGAGCTTGCGTCATATTTATAGAAGAATTGAGTTAACCGGTTAAATAAATTAGATTATTTTCTGTATTATTGCATAGCGTATATATCGCATATAAATATATATTAAATTTTAATATATTATTATATATTTATATGTAATATATATAATTATATTATTTATTATTGCGTGAGATATATATTTTCAAAAATATTAAAATTGTTTTGCAAGACACAAAAGGATGATGCTAACAAAACTAAGAGAATTTCGTTTTGTCATCGTTCATCTATTGTCTAGAGATTGTAATAATAAATCTGGCGCCCAAAGATAAAATCCCAGAGACCCGGGATTAAACTTGACGAGAAAATAATCCTGATTACTGTCCTCTATGCAGACGGATTATCATGATACTCGGTCATGATATGGAATATATGATTTATAAGCGAACTTTGTTTATTAAGATCTATTAAGATCAAGCGAATAAAATAAACTTACAGGTTAGAAAGTATACGGGACAACACAGCTTTTTTTACTTAATAATTATTTTTTAAATAATTCATTTGCGTAATAATGTCTTTTAAATTATTCAACAATTATATATTTCCAAAAATTCTTTGGATATATTATGTCGTTTCCTTTCACACACGAGCATCGAACATAAATTTAAACGCTGATTTTGTCGGCTACCTGTCGTTGATTCCTTCTTTCGAGTCGCACACAGAAACGTCATTCACAAGTTCGTACGGTGTAAAATCTCTGACAAAGAAACCGCGAGGGAGTGGCAAAAAGTCGACGGCATACGTCTCGGAATACTCATATTTCAGAAGAGCTCCACGAATACTTTCTATCCACCTCGTACAAAGAAGAGTTTGTGTACGCCAAGAAATAGCCAGTGCTGTAACACAGAGCGGGAAATTCGCTGGAGGAAAAGCGAATGAGGGAAAACGGATTGAACTGAGATAAAATGCGCCAAGAGAAAATCGATAGAAATATATATATATATATATATATATATATATATATATATATATATATATGTCTATGAGAGGATCTAAATCTCGATGTCGGTCATAATACTCGAAAATATCCGCAGCCAATACCTTGAATGCTATATAGAAAAAGTTTAGTTGCATTATTGTAATCGCGTATATACGATATGTCATGCAATGCATGACGATGTACAGGATCGAGCGAGAATATGTTGCCACTTTTACGTCAAGTTAACGTCATCCCCTGATATTGAAATTTATGTGTATATGAAAAAAGTTTTACACACAAATCTTTTATAGCGGATAGTATATAAACGAAAAAATCGCCTTTCCATTTTATATATATAGAATATATAATATTTATAAAATATATATAATCCAATTTTTATGAAGAATAAAAAAATCACATATTTTTAGATATAAAAATAGGTGGTATTTATATAATGTAGCGATGACATTGACTCATTAGCAATAATTATATAGATTTTCTCTGTCGGAGTGTACGTAATTTGGTCTTAATTCGAAGGTAATTAAGTTTAAGAGTTGAAACATAAAGTCAACGGAAGAACAAAGTTAGGGAGAGAAATGTGCGGACATATTTGAGCTCTCGCGCGAGGAAAAGAGGAGAGATCGCGATATAAAATAGAACAAAGTAAAGTTAAAGTCACGAAAGACATCTGACATCACCTTCGCCTCCTTATTACGTTTTGTTGTTGTTAATTTAACTTTGCGAGAGTTCACATTACTATGTTAAAATATCGTTACTGCGAAATCACACACAAAAGTACCTCTTTTATATAATTATTCCATTAACTTTTCCTATATAAATGTTTACCGCGAAAAGCGAAGCAGTTATCTGAAAGAGCCTTTTATCTTTGACCGTAGCAATCAAAGTATTTCATAAGCACATTTATATCATTGAGATAAAAACGATCGATTCGAATAAGACGAAGGAAGTCTTGAAAGACAGATTTGATAAAACTGCTTAATAGACGCAAAATTATATAGAGAAATTAATTTTTTAATTAGTGGGTTAATATCGATAAAGTAAGGAGAAAATTATTTACGCTGTATACGTGTATCGGAATCTCTTTTTATATTCCATCAGCTTTACGGCTTGATCACGAAAGCAAAACATATCAAAAGAAATGCATCTAAACTTTAACTCGAACTTCTGTAGTCATTGAACCATCGAAAGGACGCTCGAAATAAACTCTATTCGACGAAAAGTAAACAGAAATTTTAGCAGCAGGGAAAACACGAAGATCGAAGCGTGAGATTATCACGAAAGAAGAACAAGAAGAAGTAGGGGAATCGAACAGAAGCAAAGAGAAAATTCAAAGAGCAAAGTGAACCTAATTCGAAACTCACACAACTTGTTTCGCCAGCTTGGACTTTAATCGAGCTACTTTCTTCGAAAGAATATTGCGAATACATATAAAAAATGGGCCCATTCTATTTTATTGGCGATGGATGAAATTTTTATGTAAGATACTCGTCTTTTACGAGA